GGCGGACACAGACACAGGCACTCCCTCCCCCCCTCTGACAACTCGTCAATCGAAAGATGTTTTCTGCGAGTGACTCGCTCGTTGCCTGAAATGTTCGTAGATGGGGCTGCTCGTCACCCGAGGCTCCACTACAAGATAGGGCAGCAACCCACTTTCCCTCAAATCGGTAAATAGGACGCCGACCTCATGTTGGCAGCGTCATGTCACGCGATCTCCGCGTACCGGTAGAAAGTGTGAATCGAGCCGGTAGCTGACATAGTGTTAAGTCCCAGTCTACAAGTGCCACACGCGTGCTGGATCCTACGGCACACAATTTTGGTGGATTTCAATCAGCTTAGAGGTGTTATGAGGACTACATTTACAAGTGACCATTGCAGCCTGTCCCTCTAGTGTTAGGATGGATGTGTCATTCAATCGTTGGAAATCCTAGAACCTGTGTCTTGGGGTTTCGGTTTATTGTGGAAAATAGACACGAGCCTTTGAGTATCATATTTGCAACATACAACTAATTGAAGTGTACAGAGAAACCATGTGTGTTACAGGAACACAAACGGGACTATAAAATGTGCCAATTGGGGCGAGAGTTCCAAGGGCCGACGTTAAATCACTCATGGCTCTGACTTATTTTCGAACATATATCGGTCAAGGTTTCTTTTAAAGCATTCCAGCGATGATGACATCACAACAACTGTGGGGAGGGCATTCCAGGGCTTGATCACTCTGACAGCGAAGGCGAACTTGCGCACACCTAGCCTTGCCTGCTGAACGAGCAGTTTAAATAGGTGATCTCGGAGATTGGTCGTGGTAGCATACTCAAAAAAGTACCCGAACGCCAGGCAACAATTCAATCCCCTCACGATACGGTGCGCCTGTAGGAGATCTCCGCAATTTTGCCTATCATTCAAAGGGAACACATTAAGATGGCACATAGCAGGGAGCTTTGCCTTTTAACGCTTTTGGTTAAGAAAAGCCACGATCGCTGAAAAAAGAACCTTACTAGCCTGACGCCTTGGATTCTCACTCAAATCTGCTACCAGAGGCGGCGACAGATAAAGGTATTAGACTGCCCAGGTGTTGCGGTATTTACATGCACGCCACAATCGGGTGCTCCTGAATTTATCGTGTGTATTTTCATGTAGTGCGATAATTGTCTGGCAGGCCAAATGTTGCAGTATGCAATTACTATGCGCCTGTCAAACATCCTGGCTCCTACGCTAATTGCACGTGGTTGCATGTGGTGCAGTGACTGCCGACAATCGAGTTGAAAACTGCCTTATCTGACCGTTGATAGATTAGAGTCAGCACCCTTAAGGCTGGGCCTATAAGCCTCTTCTTTTTCTAGCCACCATGTCTCTTTCTTCGTGACTATTTCCTGAAATTGGCCATTTCGTTTCAATCAGTAATCCATGACTTTTTACGTCGTCGTGCTTATTTTACTGGAGTTGAATTATTTTACGGAGGCAAGACACTTGTCTCGATCTGAACCAGCTTCACTCTCAGACGGCAAACTGCGCAGTCTTTTATGTCCTTGTTATGACCAGAAGACTAGTGCTTGCAATTAACACGAACTGTGGGCTTGCTCATCTCTTGTTCCCAAAGCCAGTGTGGGGGGGAAAGACAATGAACTATGAGGAGAGAAATTTAATCTCACAAAAAGACTGCGTGTTTTTGTAGTATCCGCTTGGTGAGAAAGTGCCGGACACATGGACCAGGTCGCGCGTGTGGCACGCGTAAACGACGCGTTGAGATCTGTCAACCACTGTGTCCACACCCACCTCTGGCCACCTTGACTTTGTCTTGCTATCAAGCCAGGCGAATCCTGTCAGATCTGCATGTCCGATCAAGCCCCGAAGAAGCTTTGCTTGCACTTTGTAATCTCCCGTCACATCCCTCTATCCTTCTCTCTCTCTCTCCCTGTCAACAGATTTCATCGAGGATGTGCATTCGGTATTCAATATTGTTGTTGCCAAGCTGATCTACTGGTGGGAGCGATCAGTGGCAGTGTTGTGGCGCACCGCAGAAGTCCACTGGATCAAGCTCCTCTGCATCCTGATCGTGATGTCTGCCATAAAGGAGGTAGGTTATAAGTCGGTCGCTATATCCATGTTCTGCTTCCCCTAGTGAGTAGCACACACACACACCTGTTATATCCAAATGCACTAAAAGGGGAAGGTAAACGCAGCGTCATTTTTTCGAAAAAAAGCCCGGCGACTGGAGGTGTACAGCAGGTGGCCTATCTCATGCAAGGTCACGATCGAAATTGAAGCTGCTAGTTTAACGTATATTTGGTCTTCTTATTTTGGTTGGATGAGTGCATTTGATCGCATTTAATGTAAAGGAACTAAGCAGGATTTCGGCGAACTCGAAGGCTGCCGGATATTAAAGAATTTCCTACGCTATTTAATAAGTAGGACAAAAGTGTATAGTTTTGTGCGTTATGCTATTAGGGAACACCAACGTTAGCAGGAAAACTTGAAAATTGTTCCCTTTCAGAACCGGAAGATCTACTCTTAAGTTAGTGAAGGTCAGGTGAATTCAAGTGTCAAGAATCGCGTGGTTTTCTGAAACAAGGAACATCGTAATTTGCAAAATTAACCTAAGCCAATGCTTGAAGGGTTTGTTCACAAAACACATTAAAAAAGCTTTTAAGCATCGAGCATTTGGGACAGTAAACATGTGTACATGAGCACGGGCACTGAAAACAATCTTGTTAAATTTAAAGCATGTGGAAAGACAAATTTGTACACGATATTGTTTCCGCTAATGCGTAATTTAGAAACGGAACAGACAGAAGGTTAGCGATTTTTGGGTAATCTTGAATTTGCTGTCTTTAAACGGGACTTAAAATTAATCAACTAAGGTAAAAAAAGCTCTAATATAAAGAGAAAAGTCATTACTTTAATTTGAATTCAAAATTGTATCAGAAAAATAGGAAACAGGTGAAAATTCGCATTCTCTCTGTTGTTAACACGGTCGTACGCATAACAATATTGGACTTTTGCTGTGGACGTTCTTTTTACTCGATAATCAGTTTTTTTGTTTGGGGTAGTTTATAAATATGCTCCACATAAACATCTTCATAGGAATTAATATCTAAAAAAAGTCACGTTTTCGGTCAACGCTTTTAACAAATATATTATTTTGAGAGTTTTGATTACCACTTCGAACAGAATATACATTTTTATGTGAATGCTTGAAAACACTGAAATTCGCGTATAATTCGCCTTATTCCAAAGGACGATCTGAAGCTAGTTGTAGTCCAATACATAAAATATCTGTAAAGAAATTTGACGAAATGAAGGTTTGCGAAAATTACCATTGAAAATTTCAGAAGATGAAATGGCGAACATACGTTTGTTTTTTTCTCATCAGGCCTTTACATTTATATGGTAATTAAGTAAATGAAGTATGCGGGCTGGTAGAAAAGGAAGTTTATTTTGATCTGAGGAAAATGGTGTGGTTTCAATTTCATTTGACGATTATATTTACGTGAATTGGTCAAATGTGCAGCCATTTTTCACGTTTTTGGAACTTGAGGCTTCTTCACAAATGTTGGTATTGCTAAGAGAACAATTAGTACTTTTAAGCTATAAATTTGTTTGCTCGTTTTGATACAGCAAAGTTGTCGCACATGTGCTCATGCCACTTTGTGAGTGAGTATCAATCTTTCGCAAGTTTTGACACTTTGCATGAGCCAGGGCCCAAACTGTACGCATATTACAAAATTAGTTATTGGCTGTCCTTTAGATATACTGCTTAAAAAATCAATTTACGGTACATTACCTAACTCCTGTAAAATTCCGAAATTTACAAAAGCCTGATTAGAACTCGAAAACTGACATTAACACATATACGAAAACTTTGAATTACTAATGAATTTAAAACTCCAGTGTATCGGTACTTTCTATAGAACGATACATTATTATTTTAAAAAGCCTTGAGTTCCAAAGGCGTGCGGATTCGCTGTAACTGTAACTGACAAATTATCAGTGAATTCGTAATCATAGCGCTTTTTTCTATACTAAAGAACTTTCCTTTCGTCAAATTGCTTTATACGTACTTCAGGTACTGGGTTACATTTAGTTTCAGACCGTTCTGGAAACGCCGACGAATACTTCACCACTTTTCATGTTTTCCAGCTTTTTCTCATACATTGTGACTCCTTTATGCTTGTTTATCAAAACCTTTAAAAATTAAACATTTCATTAAAGAAATCACTGAAGATTTGAGTTTTTGGACATTATTGCTTATTCCTTTGGGTTACGTACGTATTTTATTTACGATCTCAAACCTCAGCATGGTGAAAAAATACGGTCAAATAATTTTAATGGCACAACACATTTAAATCATGCAAAAAGTCATGCTCAATCTCAATGTGGTCCTTGTTTCTGGAGAAAAATGCGATTCTATATACTCGCTTCTACACGATTTTCATGCTCGTAAAATCAGATTTTCCCGTCCCAGAAGGGAATATGTTTGTAACATTTTTTGCTTTTATAAATGATGTTTTAGAGCCGAACGCGCAAAATCAAGAGGTTTGGTTCTGTCCTATTTAATAGGACATGGGAAATTTCTTGGCTATCCGGAAACGTCCGATTCCGCCCAAATCCTGTCTCGACTCCAGTCAAAGATCAAAATAAACAGACCAAGTTGACGCTAAACTACTCGCTCGTATTAAGTGCAGGAGTTAGGTTATCTGCTGTACCAGGTCACAGTCAGTATAGGTCATATGTTGCGGTAGATTAAACGAGTAACTTCACCCAAATGATATTAAATTCCCGACTTCGGGTCGAGACGTTTGCCTGTGCTAGAGCCTTGGTCGTGCTTCCTTGGGTTTCAGTTCACGGAAGTCGCTGCCCTTTTTTCACTAGTGCGTCCTATTAGAATATCTACGTCACACAAATTCACTTTTTTTCTGAAGAAATCTGTGGACGGAAACTAATGAAGTTAATGTAGTTGATATATTAAATAACTTGTTTTCTGGAGAAAAGGCTAGTGTTATAAGTGTTTAATGGGTTTTTGCTACTTAACTAAACACTTATGTTAGAGAAAATCTGTTTCCCGGGTTGCAGAGCACAACCAGCATCAGCGTTCGCTGAGGTAGATTTTTGGCGTTTGACGTATGCAGGCGAAATTTCGATTCTTCTCCTTTCCCCTCCCCCCCCACTTTCCCTCCTCCTCCTTCCCCTCCTCACCACTACTACCGTGGACGTAGTCGTATTCGTCCTGTTATTTATGATCAGCGTCATCGTCATCTTGTTGTTATTATTACTCCATCTTCGCTGCTGAGGCTCATTTTGGCCAAAGCGAGTCGCCACTTGGGAACGCACAGGTCAACGCGTCGTCTAAGGTCAACGCCAAGGGGCCAGATGGCCAGGCACTCATCACGTCCGATTTCACCACGTGTGACGAAAGTTCAGGTCACGGCCAGCATGCCAGTCATCAAGCAATTAGCGCACAAGCGGGCACTTAACCTTGATAGAGGAGTCGTTGATTGTCATAAGTGTGCAGTAGCATAGTGGCTGTATCCTATAAATACTGCAGCTCCCTATGCATGAATTACCCTTTTCTGCTATTGTCTCTGATGATGGTTCCGGATGTCGAAATCTCGGGCGAATAAAAGTGTTATCCCAGAGATTCCATCTACTTTTTATAGATTTCATCTGCTGTCGCAGAGGACATTTCATACAATCTGTGTCTTTTGGACAAGCAAACCCAGACAGCGCGACTGGGAAATAACATTCATATTACTGCTGAACCAAATGAACGAAAACGTTCGCGTTCCAGGTATTTGGATGGATAGGGAAGAAGCCTCGTCGAACACCGGATTAATTGGTTTATTGTCCTGAGTTTTTGAATTCCCCCACGAGTCCATCTTCAGAGATAAGAAGCAGCAACCAAAAGGAGGGTAAGTATAGCGAGCATAGGCCAATCAACTGTCAGACGTCATCAGGTCGTCAAGACCTAAGAAACAGCAACCAATACTCCTGCCAGTACTTTTGCTATATTTTTTGATCGTGTAGCTGCTTTACTGCTAATGTAGCTTCTGCTAAAGCTTGCGTTTGGTTTTTTCTTCTTCCACCTCTTCTTTTTTAACAGGTGACAGTCGCGAACGTCATCCCACTCTCCGTTTTGATTATTTGCTTCCCCGCGCCTTCGATGCACAGCTTCCTGGTCACCAGTGTCTTCATCTTCACCGGTCTGCAGATTATCATGAAAATGATCTTCCAGTTAGACATTGTCTCCGACGCGGTCTACCACAAGCATACGAATACGGGCTACACAGGAAATCCTTCCCACCCGAAATACAGTGTACTGTTTCCCAATTCTCTGTTTTCTGCATGCCTTCAAGCATTTTTTGTCTTCACAGTCCTTTTCATCTTCTTCCTTCCTCTATCCAATTTTTCATCTTTCTCTTTTATTGCAAATACTACTACCATTCCCATTATTAATACTACTGCTATTACTACTAATACTATCACTAGAATTTCTCTTCCTACTCCTAATATTACTGCTTCCACTACTATCACTATTACGGCTACTACCACTACTGCAACTTTGCTGCTTTTACTACTTATAATATAACTGCGATTCCTATTACTACGAATACTACTACTTACACTTCTACTACTGCTAAACCTACTACTTCCGCTAGAAATACTATCTCCGCTACTACTAATA